AATGCTTCCCGCATGCTCTTTCCTATACAACATAATATCCACTCACGGGCCCGATCGCGCGCACAGTCCAGCCCATCGCTCCGTTGCTCCGATTCGAGTATCGGCGGATTGGCATACATCTCGATACATCTCGTGGATGTGTCGTACACTCGGCGCAGCTCTATGTATACGTATACATTTATGAGAGGCCGACTTGACAGACGTGGATGCATGTGTAGACACGGCCGAGCGCATCTCCCGCCCTGTCTGCATCGTGAGGCGGCTATCGATCATTACGTAATGCGCGCCATGGCTCGACTCTTCGCGAGAATTCGAGCGAGCTGTGTATATACATGCGCGCGAGCCATGCAAAATCATCAATCTATCTTTCGTACGTAGTAGCCGCGCACAAAGCCATTAATATATGATCAGCGACGTATATAACACGGGAGGCTAATTTGTGAAAATCATATATATTGTTATTGTGTGTTGTGCCTATATTATTATTCCAGCTGATCGATTCGCGATTGATATTATTTGCGATATTAGCTCCGACTGGCTTTGACGAAATGTAATATACGCGTGTAATGTACACTAGGCAATATGTCGAAGCGAAAAAGCTGCCATGCTCGACGTGTATTATAAGCTATACGCGACAAATGCGGAAAATGAAACCGCCAACCATACGATAAAACAATGCCATTGTGTGGAAATGCATATTAGCAAGCACACTCATCGACTAAGTCGGACTCCGGGAGATTTTAATTGTCGGTTCGCAATGTAACTAAGAGCGACGATTAGGTCCCATAATGAAAACTATATTTTCATGTAATAAAAAACTGCATTAAGACGAACAACATCAGCCGGACGAAAAGTCGAGCTCCGATAAGCGCGTGCTGTCGATGAAAGACAATGGCAAACATTGTCGTTTCTTTTTTTTTTATTGCCCCGCGAGAGACACTTTGATTTACGATCGGTAAAGAGATCGCGTTCGTCCTCACGCGAGAGAGTCGCCCGAGCGCGCGCTTATACAAATAATCGCGTTTTAATTAATAACAATAACGATCGAGGTATAATCCATCGCGGCTCTCCTCGATAAGCGCGCGCAGGCTGTGATTTATTTTTTTTTTTTCCTCGATCGTCGAGCTATTTTATCGTCCGTAATCGCGATCGCGTATATGCTCATAATACCCGCGAATAATAAAAAGTTGAGAGAGAGAGAGAGAGAGAGAAAAGAAAGAGCTCGTGCACATGTGTATTAGAGTTCCATAATATACAGAGTGCAATTCTTTTCTTTTTCTTTCGCTCGGGCGTTATGATGTAATCGAGCTAAAAATGTACTCACGCGCGGAGAGCTCCGCGCCTTATCAATTGCAAAAATCAATGTTTTTCAATGACAGTCGCGCTCGCGCGAGCAGAAAAGCATACACACCGGTGATTATCACAGCGCGCGGAGCTCTTTTTTTCTCTCTCTCTCTCTCTCTCTCTTACTCCCTTGACTTATTTGGTTATATACTCGCCGCGATAAGGCCTGTGCGCGATTTTGTGCACTAATCTGCGCCAATTTGTATAGCGCAGCGAGTGTATACGTATAATAATATAATATAATCGGATTTACTCTGTCGCGCTGCACTGAACACAAACAACAATTGACACGTCTATTTTTTTTATTATATTTTTTATTATCGCACAGATTACCCTCGGCACCTATGTTTGGTCGAGAGGCTGGTTGCTTCTTTTTCGTCCGTTAGTTTAGCCGTGCTAAAAATGCTAAACATTAATTATGGTCCAATACCAAAAAATGTATACCATATTAAATACAATCATGTTACCTCCAATCTTCGCCACTAGATGGCGAGTACCTATACTTGTAAATCTGCAAGTGACAAAGTCAAAGTAATTGTATAAGTAAAGAGGCATAGATTGATAAAATAATGAAACTTGTTAACATTAATAGTCAAGAAAAGAGAAGAAAGAATGAAGAAGAAAAGACGACGCGTATACCCGCGATCATCGCTCGCGCAGAAGTCAAGATCGTCAAAGTCGAGAGAGCAATTATAACAACCATACACTACATGAAAGACCGCATTGACTAATGCAAAGTCCACACACACACACACATGATCGGCGTTCGCCCGCACTTTCATACGTGTCTATCTATATACGCGTGTGTTCGGTCGTTATTCTCGGCCACCGTCCGCGGCTATTTTTAGAACGGCCGAGACCACCTTGAGGAGCAGCAGAGAGCCGCGCCGCGAGCGCATGTCTGCACTGCACACATATCGCACACAACGAGCCGAGTGCATGCGTGTGTGTAGTGTGCACGTATGTATATGAAAAAAAGACCGTGTCGCTCGACGCGGCGGCGGCGGCGGTCCCAGCGCGCAGTAAATATGCCTATACATACTGTACTTTTATACGCGGAGAAGGCAAGAGAGTATTATCTTGAACGCGCCCGCACCTCTTTCGCTCTCTGCCTCTCTGTATGCGTGTGTGTGTGTAAAAAGCGAATACAAAAAAAACACGATGAAAATAAAAAAAGCAACGACCCCCGAACGCGCGCCACGATGCCCGCGGCAGACCGGTTAGCTCTCGGGGGCAGCGCTATTCTCTCTCTCTCTCTCTCGTTCTGTTGTTGCGCGCGCGCGGCTTGCACTGTGCTGCAGCTCCTAAATATCAGCGTGTTGCTGTATGACTCGGGCTCGAGATTTTGACCTTTGCGAAAGCTTCGCGTGATACATAGATACATTTTCGTCATCTCCGATCTATCGTCGGATGTTTCTCGAGCGTCGCGTGCAGTAAAGAGCTTTAAATCGACGAACCGTTCTCTAATTATCATCGTACATCAGCTGACTCCTGTTTAATCGGCGAAATTTTAATCCCCTATTAAATTTTTTCCATGAATTGTGCATCACGTACCAACTTATAAAAATAATATAATAATCATCTCGAAAAATATCCGAGCAAGATAGCAACAGCAGCTCGATCGTGTTATGCCGTGCAGTCGAATTGTGTGCACGTGATCGTTGGTCCAAAAATTCCACGTGTGCCTCGATACATGTGTGCACATGTGTACGAGTGCACGACAACACTAGCATATACGGGCATTTAACAGAAGCTAAAAATATACCCGCATTCTAATAGCCAAATAAACAACTAAACGCGTATATAATATAGAGAATAACAAAAAAAAAAGCGGCGGCAGCGGCAACGAAATTCGTATTAAGCGCTCGCGCGTATAACCGGTTTTTCGGATGAAGCTGCTTTTATGGTTTCTCGGCGCAGTACTTATATGTATACCTATAAATGTGTACAGCCGATCGCAAGCAGAACGAAGCAAAAGCTGCGCACATACTCCAAAGAGAGAGAGAGAAAGAGATATTAACCCTCGCGTAGCAGCAGCAGCAGCATCTAACTACTGCACACATGTACCGCGTGGTATGGATGCTAATTCTCAAAGTGCTCTAAATCAATCGTCCCGCGCGCCAAAATTTTTGGACGGACTCGATCTTGAAATTACGCATAATATACGCGGCGAGAAAATTTCATTATATTAATTGGCAACGATACGAACCAACGCGCGTTCGCGCTTTATATTAATTGTCACATATATAAGTTTGTGCCTGTCTCTTTCTCCGCCATACGCGCGATTGACGATTTTTCCCTTTTTGCTTCAAGCTTCTCTATTTGACTTATATACTTCTATGTAAGAGCTGCTGTTGCGGCGCAAAACAAGTCCGTGTGCGACGAAGCCGCCGCCGCGCGTTATATATGCAGATTCTAAAAATAGCCGCGCCCGCACGATGCAGCGTATACATGTGCAACGATTACCGCATCGTGAAAGAGAGAGAGAGAGAGACCAAGAGTTGCTGCTTTTTTGCCGCACTCCAACGCTGCGCGTTAAATGCGCGAAAGTCCGATGTACTAATGTGCAGTGCTTCAACTACGTACATTAACGAACGCGCTAATGAGTACTTATTCGAATTTTCTAACGTTGTCGAGAAGTAAGTGAATACAGAGGGATCGTGCAGGGAGGGATAAACAATACCGTTATGAATTGTCTCTTTGAGGTGTCGTTTAAATTTGAACGATACGTAGGAAAATTAGTACGTCGACCGGCCGCTAGATGGCTTTTTCCTAGTTTTCGAGAAACCCTCGATCAGGAGTTATATCTCGTTGGCTGAAATATTCTACAATTTATCCGCTTTTTTGTGAACTTACGAGCAGCCGTTGGAAAACAGCAGTTACAAGTGAAACTTGGAAGAAATCCCGCACAAAAAAATTGAAATCCAAGTTTATAGTTTAATTGAATTAAAAATTAAACGCCGGCACACATGGTGTACAATAGACACTCAAATATTGTCCAGCAAAATTATGTTAACAAGAGCAGTATAGTAGAAACAGCCTCCTCCGTATGATACGGTGTCCATATTACGACTCGTGCTACGAGCAAATAATACCCAATTTATTATACGTAATTTCGAGGAATTCCTCCTCCCTCGCGCTCGAGCTTTGCTCGCGCATGTGTGCATGCAGTTGTTTGGATGCTGTTGCTGCGCCGCAGCACGTGTGTATACATGGTCGCGCGCACTTATATAGGCATATATATTCGAGCAAATTGAGAGATGCAGTTTTGTACGTGTGTACGTGTACGCGCATGTGAGTATATATAAACGCCAACGTTTATATTTAACTCGCAGATAGGCGTATGTACACGAGCGCGTAATCTCTAATATGCAACGTTCGGAGCGCAATACGCAAAACTAGTGCCGCGTCCAGCGTCGTTTTGTATTTATATAATATGGATGTGTATACGTATTGCTATAGGCAATCCTACAGCACCTGCCTTTTATCCGAAACAAATTTTTCTTTACATTTAATAAAAAGTAAAATTCCAAAATTGCCTGTATACATAGCGTCTGATACTCAGTCAATTTTTATACATTATAATTAAATTAAAATTCAAAGTTCACATGCGAAGTAAGCTCCTCGTACTCATTCCTTGTTTTTATCGTTCGCAGAAATGCTCGGACGACAAAGCCACGTCCATCCGGACGTTCGCGCGCACCGAGCCGCCCGACACTCAGGTCACCAAGTCCGTCATAGCCCTGCTCATCCACTACAACTGGAACAAGTTCAGCATCATCTTCGAGAAGCCGTGGAACACCGTGGCCAAGTCGCTCCAGTCCCAGGCGCACTACAACAATCTCACGGTGAACCACTACGTGCAGATGGTCGACCGGCACATCTGCTGCGAGGAGCGCATGGCCTGCTGCCAGGGCGCCGGCTGGTTCGGCACCATACAGGAGACCAAGAACATGACGCGTAGTGAGTTTTTTGAACGATACATACCTGCGTAGCTAAATTAAAAGCATTATAATGATCGACTTGTTTTTGTTGCGCGCAGTTTACATATTTCTCGGCACGCCGATCTCGCTGATCGAGTTCATGAACGCGATGCAGAATCAGCGGCTGCTCGACGACGGCCAGTACATGGTCATCTACGTCGACATGCTCACGTACACGCCCAAAGAAGCCATGAAGTACTTATGGAGTGAGTACACATGCATTTATCACATTATAATAATCGATATATAATCGACGGAAATGGAAGTTAATGTTGATTTGCCATTCGTGCGAACGCAGAACCTGAACACTACAATCTGCCGGACTGCATGGACCCGAAGGACAAGGACTTTTTGGTGCGAGCCCGCTCGCTCATGGTGGTCGCGGCGACGCCGCCCACCCACAACTACATGGAGTTCACGGAGAAGGTCCGCCACTACACTGCCCAGGAGCCCTTCAACTTTCCCCTGCCCTCGCTCTTTCAGACCAAATTCGAAAAGGTACCTACGCGCAATCAGAGATGAAGCTTGGCTCAATTACATCATAACACAATATGTCTCTTTCAATCCTCAGCACGTGTCCATCTACGCGGCGTACCTGTACGACTCGGTGAAGCTGTACGCCTGGGCGCTCGACCGGCTGCTGCGCGAGAATCCGGACGTCGAGACGGAGAAGATCGTGAAGAACGGCACGTGGATCATCGACACCATCATCAGGAGCCACGTGTACAAGAGCATCAGCGGGGCCATGATCAAGGTCGACAAGAACGGCGACTCCGAGGGCAACTTCTCGGTGTTAGCCCTCAAGCGCGAGCCCCTGCAGATCCTGAACTTTTCGTGCGACTACCAGATGAAGCCCGTGGGCCAGTTCCAGCAGGGCCAGGTGCTGGCTTATCGTCCCGCCGAGGCCATCGACTGGCCGGGCAAGAACAAGCCCGAAGCGGAGCCGGGCTGCGGCTTCTTCAACGAGCACTGCCCCCAGAGCAATTCGCTCTACACGACGACAATCGTCACCATCGCCATGTTCTTCGCCATTCTGCTGACCATAGGCGTGATGATCGTGGCGAGCTATCACTGGCGCTACGAGCAGGAGCTCGCGGGCCTCATGTGGCGCATCGAGCTCGACGACGTGCGCTGCCACGACACCAACAAGCTCCAGCTCAAGGCGAGCAGCGACGCCCAGAAGAAGCTCAAGGCCGGCGGCCCCGGCGGCGGCGGCAGCCATCAGAGCATCAACAGCAGCTGGTCGTTCGAGTCGAGGCTGGGCGAGCAGCTGTTCACCTCGGTGGGCACGTACAAGGGCTTGGTGGTGAGGATACGCAAGTGGAGATTCGACAGGAAGATCGATCTGACCCGCGACACCATGAAGGAGATGCGGGCGCTGCGCGAGATGAGCCACAAGAACATCAACTCGTTCGTCGGGGCCTACCTCGATCCGCATACCGCGGTGCTGCTCACCGAGTACTGCGCCAAGGGCAGCCTTTACGTGAGTATACATCCATAAATATGTAGCTATATATATAGCTCTGTGCCACGAATAATCAACTTTTTTTTTCCTCGTCACAGGACATCATCGAGAACGACGACATCAAGCTGGACGAGATGTTCATCACGTCGCTGATGCACGATCTCATCAAGGGCATGTCGTATCTGCACGCGTCCAACATCTTCGTGTGCCACGGCAATCTCAAGTCGTCCAATTGCCTGGTGACGTCGCGCTGGGTCCTGCAGGTGTCCGACTTCGGTCTGCACGCCTTTCGCTCCGAGGCCATCATGGTGATCGACGAGACCAGCTCCCAGGACCACGTCGTCGAGACCGGCGAGCACGAGCAGTTCCGAAGTGAGTCGCGGAGACAAAAACGAGATAACGATTCGTAAACTATTATAAAGACGAGATTGTAATAAAAAAAAATTTCTAAAACTTTTATAGATTTGTATTGGCGAGCGCCGGAATTGCTGAGGTATCCCGTGCTGGGCGGCACCAAGGAGGGCGACATGTACTCCTTCGCTATCGTGCTGTACGAATTGATGAGCCGCAAGGCGCCCTACACCACCGGCGAAAAGGAGGGTCAAACGCCCAAAGGTGAGTGACATCCGCACGGATTCAGCTGCGATGCACGTCATATACACGGATACTTATATTCTTTCTCGTGTGCTTTCGCGCAGACATTATCTTTCACGTGACGTACGACGCGCTCAACAACAAGCCGCCGTATCGTCCCCAGATCGATCTGATCGACGCCAAGGACTACGAGTGCACCGAGTGGATCAAGCCCATGATCATGGACTGCTGGAACGAGTCGCCCGAGCTCAGGCCCGACTTCAAGAACGTGCGCCAGCGCATGAACAAGAAGAACGGCAAGATGCGCCAGACCCTGATGGACAGGCTGCTCGATCTCATGGAGCAGTACGCCAACAATCTCGAGGAACTCGTGACGGATCGCACCCGATTGCTCGAGAAGGAGAAGGAGAAGACCGAGGATCTGCTGCACAGGATGCTGCCCAAGTGAGTCGTTGATTTGTTTGTTTGCTTTTCGAGTGAGTGAGAGAGATTATTATTAGCGGTCAGACCGCAAATTGTATATAAACTTGCAATTACCATTGGCTAATAAGCGAAATCGAGTTTCGTACATTGTTTCGCGTAATTGAAACGTATCCGCATTGTATAGTAATTCGACTTTAATATTTTCTCTCTCCGCAGACCCGTGGCCTCGGTATTGAAGAGGGGCGAGGACGTGGAGCCCGAGGCCTTCGAGAGCGTAACCATCTACTTTAGCGACATCGTCGGCTTCACCGAGATGTCCGCGTCCAGCACCCCCTTCCAGGTAAATTTTATTTTTATATATGGCCATTATTTTTATATATGGCCTCGAGAAAAGTCTCTCGATCGTCGGACTATGTCTCATCGTTGTACCGTTGTATTACGCACAGGTCGTTACTTTCCTCGACTCCCTGTACTCGGTCTTCGACACCATCACCAAGAAGTACGACGTGTACAAGGTGGAAACGATCGGCGACGCGTACATGGTCGTGAGTATTCGTCTATATTGTAGAATTTTTCAAAAAAATAAAAAATAAAAAAAATATATGATACGTATATTTTTGTTAGGTATCGGGCCTGCCGATCAAGAACGGCAACAATCACGCGGGTGAGATCGCGTCGATGGCGATGGACCTGCTGGAGGCGGCGAAGAAGCACACGATACCCCACAGGCCGAACGAGCCGCTCAGGCTGCGCATCGGAATTCATTCGGGCCCGGTGGTGGCGGGCGTGGTGGGCCTGATCATGCCCAGATACTGTCTGTTCGGCGACACGGTCAACACGGCCTCGCGCATGGAGTCGAACGGCGAGCCGCTCAAGATCCACATAAGCGATCGCTGCAAGGAGAAGCTCGATCTCATCGGCGGCTACGTGACGGAGGAGCGCGGCCTGGTCGAGATGAAGGGCAAGGGCCGAGTGCTGACCTACTGGCTCGTCGGCAAGACCGAGGAGGCGATACAGCCGCGCTTCTACGACGACGACTACTCGGGCATCGGGCCGATCTTCGACAGCGCGCGCAGCCGACAGCAGGCCATGGTGATCAACGGCTCGATAGCCAGCATAATGGGCGCCGGCTCGATGGCCGGGAGTCGTCGGGAATCGGCGGCGCAAGAGTTGGCGCTCATGCTCGGCGAGCGGCCGAACACCAACGCCGCCAACAATCGCAAGCACGAGCCGACGCCGCTCTACTTACCACCCGCTACGATCACTCCTAGCGTGTCCCAGCTCACTCTGCGCTCCGTCGCCGACATTAGCAATCAGCCGAACCTGCCCCTGCAGCAGCAGCAAAACGAGCCGACGGAGAACGACGCGCTGTTACCGCGACAGGAGGCAGAGGCGACGACGCCACCGGATCCGCCGCCCCGGAGTTTCGGAGGATCCTTGGAGATCGTGTACCCCGCCGAGTCGTACGAGTCTCTGCAGCAGCAGCAGCAGCAGCAGCAGGACCACAATCGTCAGCTGCCGCTGCTCAACGGCCTCGAGAACTCGGCGGACGCCGCGGCGGCGGCGGCCTTGAACAGGTTCAGGATGCAGGACGGCGTCAACGGCAACGGGTTGGTTTTTTCATTTCTCCGAGACTCTTTCTTCACTCATCTTTTTCGCTGCGCGCGACATACAGAGTTATTACCATTTAAAATATTTTTTTTTTTTAATTTTTTTTCCATAATTTTTTTTTTTGTATACTCAGCATCGAGCTCGAAGAGCGACGATGACCTCGACGGAACGCGCGAAACAAGAGGTCAAATGCCAGCTAAGCGAAAATAGCTATATATCGACGGAGATGGCCGCATCGTTCGCGCGAAACTTATAAATAAATTTCGCAATGCGTATTTTCCCAGAAGACGCGTTTGACCACAAATCAATTTTGACTAGGCTAATATAGTAATAAGAGAGTCGCTTCTTCTTTTTGTTTACGCATTGCTGGTGAGTTCGTTGGCACGTGAACGGGTGCGAGCTTTCGCGAGATAGATATAAAAGCCGCGCGCGAGATAGGCAAGGCTTCATCGCTAGTCTCGAGTTTGCTCTTGCCGGTCGTGTGTTCCGTACTATACTTATCGCTAATATAAAATTGCGTCGTTTCGCAGACTCTTGACGATCCTGGGCACGCCGGCCAACGGCCACGCGCTGGTCCGCAAGCGCAACCCCGCCTCGCACCACCAGGCGCCGGACTTTCGCAAGAGCGCCATGCTGACGACGGCGCTGGTGGCCTCGTCCACCATACCCTCGTCGCTGGACCACTACCACAAGTACAGGCAGCAGCAGCAGTCGCGCTCGCTCGTCTCCTTCCCGCCGGAGCTCATGCAGCCCGCGGTGCCGCCCAAGCCGGCCAGCCACCAAGCCACGGCTGGCGGCCAAGGTAACCAGTCGGAGCAGGCCTCGCGCAACGTCAGCTGGAAGCTGACGAGCAGCAGCAGGCGCTGCCTGGTGCACTCGCTCGAGAACTGCCAGCGCTGCTGTCCGGCGAACGCGACGACCTCGTCGTCGGCCTCGTCGTCGCCCCGCAACTCCAAGTCCAGCCTCAACAATAATCGAGTCGCAGCGAGCAACGACTCCGGCGGTGCTGGTGCTGGTGCTGGTGGTCGCCGTCGACAAGGTCGCCAGGTCGTACAGGCGACGACGACGACGACTACGCCCAACAACGCCGAGGACGTCGAGGCCGACGCGCTGCTGCTGCTCAGCGACAACAATTGCAGTCTAGTCAAGAAGTGGAAGTCCCTGGACGAGGTGGGCGGTGGCTCGCAGCACGTCGTCAACGAGATCGAGTCCTGCTGCGGCGACGGCGGCGGCGACAACAACGACAACTGCTGCCGAGTCGTCGGCAACAAGCTCGTCACCGGCATGCACCAGGAAGACCAGAGGAAGGAGCCGCAGAGCAACAAGAGCAATTCGCGCTTCGCCTGGTTGAAGCTGTCGAATCTGATCAACGGCAACGGGCTGCGCGGCAGCACGGGCCGCTCCGCGCTGAGCCGAGTCATTCCCGGCTACAGCGACGTTTCTCATCACTCCGAGAGCGAGAGCATGGTCTGACATGGTCTGTGCATATGAATCAAGTGCGTGTATCAATGACGAAAAAGAAGAGGAAATTAATGACGAGAAACCTGTGATAGGCTGATATAAACTTTACGTGTACTAGGAGAGTTAACAAATTTTAACGGAATCACCTTACAAAGTGTAATATATGTAATATTTTATAATGCGATATAGCCTAGATTTATCGCGCGATCGTTAGTCCGTATGGAATATTTAATACTATTTGTTGTTGTTTGAAATGAAAAAAATAACACTTCGAACGAGAAAACGACTGTTTTTCTATATGTTTTATATACGTTTATTTTGTAATAGCAGCTCGACTACACATGTAAATTAAAGTTAATAGAAATCGAAACAAAAAATACAAGAAAAACACATAAACAAGTATACAGCATAACTCGAATTGGTCTGTTTATAAATAATTATGACGATAAGTAAGTGTTATACGTATCGTATAAAAAGCTCTTTACTTGTCGATGGAGTTTTGCGGGAGTGAAAAGAGCCCTTCGTTCCACCGTCTATAGTTTTTATACAGTAAAAAAATTGGCCCCTAGGGTTTTTTTACTTATAAAATTAAGAATGTCGGATCGAAGGATATTTTGTACTGTTATTGTACTATTATTGTCGACGACTCTTGCGGCGACGTATTAAATAGTATAAATTATCGGCTGAATTAAATGAAAACATTTTTATGTAAAAATGACATATTGTTGCGATATTCATGTATTTAACAATATGTTTATTTTTCTACTGTAGTTAAACTATAAATGTTTTTTTCATTCGGTTGAAAAAAAAATAGATGTATAGCTGTGCCTGCGTAATAATATGTGAATAGTTGACGAGATGAGGTTTGACTTACTGAAACAAAAATCAGTATACAAACGATAGTAAGTTTTTTTAGTTTAATGATCCGAATCATTTTTGAACGACGAAAATATATATTTTTACTCAGTCCGACAATGATCAACTAGTCATTTCTTGTACTCGATGAACGACGTATGAGAGCGCAGTAAGAGAAATTGAATATGTTTATTTTTTTTTGGCTATTTCGAATTTTTATGTCTAATCAGGGTATAGTTTTAACGATTTGTCATACTCATTGTTCATAGGAACTGTATGTGAATAATAAGTATGCATGCAAAATACGCGACAAACTTTGCACTACTATGATGCGATAAATCAAAATGTTATCATAGCGATTTTAAATATAATAAAATTGTGAATGTTGATGATGTAAGAGGTAAATTTTGTTGCAGTTTCTATTAAAAACAGGACTTTATTTTTTAGTCATCGAAAGTATGATGAATTATCGTTGCCATGTTTTAGAGTATATGTGCCAATCTCCGTTCCCTTCCTTACTTTTGTATGAGAGAGTTACCACGTATATTTTCACTATTTTATTAATTGCAATTAAAATATTTGCATTGAAATGATGCATATATTATTATTTTACAATATTAATGTAAATGAAAATAACTAAGCGCGAGTTTTGTAATATAATTAGTATAGGCACTTGTATGATACAAAAGATGTACATTTTATAAATACATAATTTTTTGTTGTATTCCCATTGAAGTTTGAAGGGGATAATAAATTTTTTTAAATCTTCGATAGGAACAAATATTGATTCTAACCAAAGTATGTGCACGTGTATAAAATGAAACGACTTATTAATTCTGTTATTAGTACGAACAAATTGAAAAGCATTGGAAACAATAAGTAAATATATAATATATATATGTCTATTCTGTAATTGTTTTATGTATATGTAAAATCGTTTACCTAAACAAAAGTACACAAAAGCAAAATGTATTCACAAATATATTATCTAAAAAATAGACATGCATAGGCGCAACTGTGCATATTTATAATTACTGATGAAAGCAAATAATCCACATGGCTGTGAAAAGTGAAACAGATTGTACCTAAGGTGCTTAGATTGTATCTTTATGTCAATTGTATATAAAAGAATAGTAATATATTACATAAAATTATCATATATATTATTGTAGTAAAAAACGCTATTGCCTTTCATGTAACAGTCAATTAAACTTATACATTTTGAAACAATGTGTTGTTATTCAATGTGCCTTTAAGAATAAATTATTCACTAATCTTGAATATTTGTAATATTTTTATTCAAAAATCTTCGGGAGTTTATATTTATACACATGTACTAATATTTTACATACCTCAAATAAAACAACAATCTTTAACAATGCTAGTAATGTAATAAACTAAATTTTTTAAATTAAATTATTGTTATTCATTATTAGTCTGTTCCATTCATGAATTTTGACATAAAGTCAGTGGGCTTTGGTTCAACGGTATCTTTGAAGTAAAACATAAGAGCTCCCTTATTTTTCCATTTTTCGACTGTTTCTTTCAACTCCATTTGACCCTGGAAGACAATTTTATTAAATAAATAACAGATTCTAAAAATTTTAAATAGAAAATTTTAACTTCTGAGTCATAAGCATATTGATTGATTGATTTACTGACTTTAAATACTGGAAACACTACACATCAAGAAAGTGAATAAAGATAACATTCGTTGCATAGGCTTACCTTGATGACAAGCATGTCAATTACTCTGATGTCTTTGACAGTTCGATGTTTGTTGAATTCTTCTCGTATTTTCATTTTCAAATCGTTAGCATTTTTTGGAATATCATAATCTTGGACTGCAAAAAATAAATAGAAATAAGGATCATAAATAAGAATAATCTCACTGTGTTGCACTATACGCCAACTCAGTTAACATTTGACATTAGTTTTAATCACTGTTGCTTTCAGTTTAGTTTACTAGTTTACTAGTTGATGTAATCTGAAGTTAGAATCTAAAGAATGTATTCTCTTTCAATCAAGTTTCTTGCATGCAGTAAATGAATAATATAAGGATACAAGACAAAAGAAAAAAAAATAAACACAGTAGTTACATAAAGTTTGATTAGTATTGTAGGTTAGGTGGCAAGATTTTCGCGATCGTTCAGGGTAGGAAAAAGGGTACTCACGTATGAATGGCACTTGTCGGATCCACGCCTTGTACAGGCCGAAAACTCGTCTCCTCGCCTCATTTTCGTTTAGTGATAGCAGAGGCTTCACTTGACGAGTGACAATTCGCGCTGGGTTGGACATTTTCAGGTCGCGCAAGCTACTGCGCTCGATCAGAGATTCTTCAGCTGATGTCAGATGTGTATACACACATATATATATCAAAGCAAAATTATGATTATCGTCGCATCGTATTTACTTTTTCGTATAGATACGATTCATAACATACTTGACAGCAGAAGGCAAAATTTTCCTTCATCTCGAAAAGAGACGATAGAATTTCACGGAGGATTTTTTACATACTTTGGGATTTACAACGATTGTTTCATAATTCTCATTTCACACCTTGATACAGAATGACACGCATTCATTCTGTCAGTTATTTGTTTTTGTATTCTATTTTGTCAACAAATTGTTTATGTAAATTTATAAATAATTGACCGTTTTTTATCTATTCCTTCTAACACCATAAAAAAAAAATAAATTAGACAACTGCGAGACTATGCAACGTGCATTTTTCTACTTTAAGCTTCCACTTGTTCAGAACAAATTATCCATCACTTAAATACTACAAAAAAAATGTTAATTTGTGTTGCACTTTATTTTCTTTTTCATTACAGTTAAAGTGGTCTTCATTTGTAAATATTGCAAGTATAAATTATATCGCTACAGAAAAAACTTCAAATTATGGTGGCACCGCATGAACTCCATCTGTAGTGTGGCGCATGTCCACTTCGCAGCGCTGTAGCCGTAGACTCGAACGACTGTTGCGTTTCACGTTCTCCACGTTCTTTCTACATCGAAGTATAAGCCGTCAAGATGGTCGCGGTAAGATTTTTTTTTTTACCAAAGTTTATAACACTTAAGTGTTAACAAATTTATTTATTATACAAAATCGATAATTATGCGCATCTAGTGAGTGCCTTAAATTGTTAAATAATGTTCATTTACGCCTGCGACCGAGTGATGTTGCAAAATATAATGGATACATTTATGAGCGTTTTGCCGCCTGTGTACGACTCGTACACGTGGTTGTTCGACAAATTCGTTAAAAATCGTATTCTGCACATAATTATTGAATATTCTTCGCTATTGTTACTATCTAATTAATTGTGCAACGTGTATACATTCAACACGTTGACTGTGCACCATGCGGTTTCAAAAAAAACCTAACCTATTTGAAGTTATACTTGAAATTCATAAAATGTTGCTATGACCTTTACTAATGAAGATTTATTAATTACAGACCGCCAAGAAAACCGTCGTCCCCAAGGCGGGAGCCAAGAAACAACACCTTCGTGGCAAGGCCCAAAAGAAGAAGGTAGCCTTGAAGTTCACCATCGACTGCACTCACCCAGTCGAAGACAACATCATGGATGTTGCCAATTTTGTAAGTATCTAATACTTTATGAAATCAGTGAAAAATGTTCAAAAAGAACATGATGCACTGACAGTTATGATTAATTATTCTACACTGTTGTCTGGGAACTAATTGTTTTTGTATTTCTTAATAGGAAAAATACCTCCAAGAGAGGATGAAGGTCTATGGCAAGACCAACAACTTTGGCAACAACGTTTCTATTGAAAGACAACGCATGAAGCTGTCCATCAACAGTGACATTGATTTCTCGAAGAGGTAAGTTTCTCATAAAAAGTGAACGGTGAAGCTGCTGAAATAATCGTATTGAATATTTCTCTATGAAATAAGCAGCTAAGCTTCAGAAATGAGATTGTAGAAATAAACTAGAACGATATTTGCACTCACCACGCAAAATTTGTTTTTATAGATACTTGAAGTACTTGACGAAGAAATACTTGAAGAAGAACAAGCTCCGTGACTGGCTCAGAGTTGTGTCCAAAGACAAAGAGACTTACGAGCTCAGATACTTCCAGATTAACAGTCAGGAAGAAGATGAGGAAGAAGATGCCGAATAAGTATCTTTTTCTTATTATTTGCAACAACATCTGTAAATATTTTTCATTAAAAATAAACGGTCAAAATCCAATATTTGGATGTTGCTCATGAAAAAAAAATTAATTTATCATGCAACTTATTTTATCCTGTCAATTAATTGATATTCTAAAAATACTGTAATACATTTTATTATAATAACTTTTAACATCCATTTGATTGTGTCAAAAGCACTATTGTTTGAATACGATCAAGAAAAACATCTCATTATCAACATTTAAAAGAAACATCAGTCCTTTCAATAAACTTGAATGAATTTACATATTGAACATATTGAATAAATACACGATTGCCTATGAAATTATTAAAATTTGATGTAAAAAAGTTCAAATTGCAAAGCGACAATTGGCACTGCTGAACAGTATCGTGCAATTTATTATCGTAAAGTTGGCAGTATCCGTACGATACAGTATCACGAAATATACGCGAGAGATCCATGATTACTCCCCCTCCTTCCTCCCCTCCGCTACTACTGCTGCTGCTGCTGTTCGTGAAACAGCAAAACGGAGCACAGCACACCAACACATAGACGGAGGCCAAGCTATATCCAAGCTCGGGAATTACAGCTATAAAGCGACAACTCGAGTTCGAAACATTATAATAGACACATCGATGTGCTGCGCGTGTGTCATAAGCGGGCAAAAGTTAAAATCATCATCATAATCGTATAGTCAGTCATTCGTCGCAGAGCAGAGGGCTATATACATACACACATCTATATACCCCAAACAAAGCGAGCGAGAAAAATAAAGACAGAGAGAGAGAGAGAGGCGCAGTCGGTTCAGCAGTCGTCGAGTGTGCTCTATAGTGCGAGTGTTGTTAGTTTCTGGTTGTCTGCAGCAGTCTGCTATCGTCTTTCGACGTTATTACACATACACAAACGCACGCATATATCGAGTGAGAGAATTCGCGAAGAACGAAAAAAGCAGTCGGTCGTGCACCACAGCGGAGCACAGACACACGCGTTTTATTATTATTATCATCGTATACGCACAGGCAGGAGTCCAAGAACAAAAGCTTGCTCTGCTCTGCTCTCTGCGGGTGTTGTTGTTTTTGAGAGTGTGTGCGCGTGTTGTTGTTGCATTGTGTGAGAGCTGATCCTCCCGTGTGTGCAGCGTTCGTGACGCACGTCTATCTTTTCTCTTCGAAAGAACGAACAAATAGTAAACAGTAGTTGCAATCATGAAGTTCCAATACAAAGAGGAGCATCCCTTCGAGAAGAGGAAAGCCGAGGGCGAGAAGATACGCAGAAAGTATCCCGACCGAGTGCCCGTAAGTATCCTATATATCCTGTCATCGCTAGAAAAACTAACGTCAGAATTTTCTAAAACGCGGATCCAAACAAAAACAACTTCGAGAAAGTCGGAACGAAAAAAACCCATCGCTTCCTTGTGTGCGTGTGTGTGCGTCGCGAAACGCAATTCGCGTACATACATAAAATAATCCTAAGCTCTGCTTTCACCATCGGTTCGACGTTAATACCAAGCGTCGATGTGTTGTGTGTACGAGTGTCGTGACGAAATCGTAGCTCCGATTTGCGTGACACGCATTAAATTGCGAATTGAAGTAAAAAAGGCAAAATAATAATAACAAGGTTCCACAGCGGAGGTTGTGGATGTGCGCGAAATAGAGAGAGAGAGAGAAAGAGAGAGAGATAGGTAAAACGAAGACGACGACGACGACGACGACGTTGATGTACGTTCGGGCAAGGTCGCCTCTCTCGCTCTCGCGCTTGACGTCGCTCGCTCGCTTATAACTGCGTAGTTGTTGAAGCTCGCCTCTCGTCCGTACGTGTATGTGTGTGTGTGTGTACCGTATATGTGTTGCTGCGAGCGTATGATTGTGTGTAAGGCTGCGAGAGGTATACTATATACATATCGGGGCAGCAATAGCAGTGGCAGCAGAGCGAAAGCAACAACGGAACGCGATAACCACGGTTACGCATTTAGCGATCGCTCTTTGGTCGTCTTTTTATTTCTCCGTATACACCTACATCATCAGCAGCAGCAGCAGCTCTTGACGTCGTTGTAAACATATACACGACAGCAATATGTTGTGTGTGTGTTTGTGTATATATAGGAGTCGCGGAAGAGAGTCCACGCGAGCGAGAGGCCAACATTCATTTATAATATTGATTTCTCGCCCGTGTGTATATACAACAAACCCAGTGTAGCGAGTGGTCCGTGCCACGCACGCACACAATAATAACAAGCTCCGACCGTCTAATAAAACACAGCAGCAGCAGCCGAGCAGTAGCAGCCCTCGAATGTGTACATACACTCATTGCGCACACATATACACACAGAGACTTATCGATGACGAATTTTATAATCATCATGGTCTGCGCTGCTCCGATACATCTCTGTGTATATATCTTATTACTCGTGCGGGGGACATACAGCTGGGCTAAAGTTTAGCCACGCAAAAAGAGAAAGAGGCACGGGGGGCAAAGAAATGAGAAAAACCCAAAAAGGAGAAAAGTTGCGTTGTCGGGCGCGGGGACTACGGACGACGCTTTGTGTCTTTCGGGGCCATGAATATATAATATTTTAAAGCGTGCTTATTTCGAGTTTCGTGACGCCTAGCCCCCGCGTGCGAAGATATCCGAAGGCGATGTACATACGCGCACGCACTTATATTTCATCACACTATCTCACGGTTTTTCTCGCACGCGTACGTGTTTTATAAATAAAAAACGAAGTCAAAAAAAAAAAAAGATGAAATGTGATTTCTCGCGCGACGAACTTGAAACGGCCAAGAATTTCGCAGGTGTACATAGTGCATTCCGCGACATTTAACGATCATGCATATAGTCGCTGCTGCTGCTACTCCGATGTTTTGGCGTCATCAGCTGTGCGAAGAGAGAAAGAGAGAGAGAGATAGATAGAGAGAATTGATCTGGCTGCTGATGCTGTGCTAAGCTACAAGAGCAGCAGCAGCAGCGGCACGTGTTGTTGTTGTTATTATTAAGGCTCTCTGCACCAAACACACGAGAGAAATGAGAATGACGTTTTTTAATACAAGCGCATAAAAACAAGAGAGAGAAAATGGCGACGTGAGCAAGCAGTCGTCGATGCATGTGACTTTATATCCATTTTCGCGATTATACAATGAATAATAATTAGAAGACTCCGCGATGTTGTTGCTTATAACGTACGATTATAGGTGAAACGTTACTAGCGGTAACTAGTTTTCAGACATCTGCTGCGGCGCGCACAATTGTGCGTGTGTGTGTGCAAATATATATAGACGTGCACCTACACTCAGCTGTTGTTATTATACGAAAATAAAAGTTTAGTCACTGCTGCGTCGCGACGCGATATTACCCGCGCACTGCAGCGCTTGTTTTCTTTTTCTATCTCTCTTTCTTATATATATTTCGCCAGTCGCGGAAAATCGACTGTATGCAAAGTAGCTTTTCTGTGTATGTGTATGTATGTATAGGTGTGTGGCACGAGGCACAATAAACGTTACGCGCGCGTTACACGCGATTTCGCGGTACACGTTGAAAGCAAAAAAGAAACAACGAAAATAGCTATCAGGTATATAGAGAGAATTTCGCTCGGTCGGGAAACGTTTTGTTTTTTTTTTCTTTTCGACGAGTCACGTTATATGCGTATCCAATGTATATATAAGACGTCGCGCGACTTTAATTCCGCACAGTCGATATCGCATCTGCATTTGGACGACGACGATCATCGACGCTAACGAATTTTTAATTATCAGCGCTCGAGGAAACAACACGACTCGCGCCTATGATTGCCTGGTAGTAGTAGTATTGCAGCATTTGTAGACGCTGTTTTGCAAGTGCGCGCGAACCGAATCGAGAATTATAATTCGATCGCCGAGTAAGAAGAAGAAGAAGCGAAGTGGCAGAAAAATAAAACGACGGCGACGGCAGTGCGCTGCTGCACATTCGTCGACGTTCAATCTTTAAGCGTAGAGCATGATGACTCGTTTAAAGCGAGAGGCGACTCCTTTCGCGAACAATAAATCCCAACGGCAGCGAGAGAAACGGTGTCATTTAATAATTAATAATAATAATAATAATGTATCGAGCTGTGCCATACCGCAGCTGCAAACTATATTTATATGTATATGAAGTACGATTCCGCGCGTGAGGCACGTTTTACTATCTCTTTTATCTGTCTTTCTCTCTCTCGTATTGAAAGTGCGCATCGACGTGCATTCATGAGGCTTATAATCAGAACGACGCACGCGGCACTGTACAACGTGAACTTGATTATCATTCAAGTTTACGAGGTTTGCATAATGCAAGATGCGCCGTGTGTGTGTGTACGAGTGATTTTCGATTTTTGCACGCTCGCATAGGCAGGTGCATCTTTGACAACAACAAAAAAATTAGCAGTTAGCAAGCTATGACCTAATGTGTGTGTTCTCGACAATCGTACCATGTATACACACACGCGCTACTTACAATGTTCGCAGCAAGTTCAATAACATTCGGATAACGGGAAAACAAAAAATCAATACGTCTCTCTGCTGCTGCTGCTGCTGTGCGCGAGAGAGATGATGATAAACGCACGCGATGCATCAAGCACGCGGCGAGGCACTGATTTATGAATAGCAATAAACTATCTTGTATAAGCACGAGCGCGAGCCGTATCAATGACTCATTAACGAGTGCTTTTGTATATCGTTGATAAGATCGTGTAACAATGCGGCATTAATAATTGCATCGTTTTTGACTCTTTTTTTTTGTTATTCGCTGCTTCTAGGTTATCGTCGAGAAGGCACCGAAGGCCAAAATCAGCGACCTGGACAAACAAAAGTACTTGGTACCGTCCGACCTGACCGTCGGTCAGTTCTACTTTCTCATTCGCAAGCGCATCCACCTGCGCCCCGAGGACGCGCTCTTCTTCTTCGTCAACAACATCATTCCGCCCACCAGCGCGACGATGGGCTCGCTCTATCAGGTGCGATGATTTTCTTTCATTTCCTTCTTTTTATTCAATTTTATACGCAAGTCGATTGAATCGAGCTCTAATCCATTTTATGTTTTTTTCACGCTGCAGGAACACCACGAAGAGGACTTCTTCTTGTACATTGCATACAGCGACGAGAATGTTTACGGACGTTAAATCAAAGTGAAAGAAGAAAGAAAAAATTCATTTTAAATGTATAACAAATCCTCTACACTTATATTCCACGAAAATGATGATGTTTTTTGCGATAAGATTCAACGATTGATAAAAACAATTGTTACAACAGAAAAGTAAAAAAAAAAAAATGAATAAACTGTCAAAGATCTATTATCTACGTATGTGTAGTCTTCATATAGTCGCTTTCGTATAAAAAAATGTGAAATTCATCGAAACGACAAAATGTAGAGAGCAAAAATTTTATTACGTCGGCTGGATGTTGCAAAAATAACTTCTACAATTGTATTATTAGTTCGTCGCTTTTTCTTCTGTTCCAGATGAGATTTAAGCGCCGTAGATTATATCTTTATACAATTTTTCTTTGTACTGGAGTGTTGTAAGCCCTTTAAATCTTTCATTATTTTTTTCGCATTACCAGGATTTTTTTTCGCTATTTAATAACTTGTAAGAAAGAGAAAAGACAATTTTTTGCGTGTGCGTGCAAATGAAACAAAAAAAAAATGTAAGTCGGGTAAATGTATTGCTAATATATGTTTCAATTATTTAACTTACAAAAAAATGTTCAAAAACGATAGTATGTTGAAAAAAAACGAAAAAAAAACAAAACAGCCAAAAGCTCGCGTTACATCTGTATCATTTTAAATGATTTTTATTAATACTAGCTCATCCGATGTTCGTATGTAGTTTATCTACTAAATATAACAATGATTTTTAGCCTCATACTTTTCAAGTGGTATCTTGTGTAATTTTTAAAAGATGTGTAACATTAATATCATTAATCACTAATAACGAAAAATGCGAAAAAAAGAAAAGAAAATCAAGTACTAAGACTATATTGACAGATCTATCCTTGTGATATTATTTCCTTGCGTTAGATTATTATTACGATATAAATAAATATAAAAAAACGTGTTTTATTCGATTCGCAAAAAATTCGAATGGAAAAAAGAAACGAAGAAGAGTATACTATATAGGAATGACGCTTTTGAAATAATGAATGAAAAAGAAAAAAGAATAACGAGAAGGGAGTAAATAATGAAAAAATGTTTACAAAATGACACAATGAGAAAATTACTGTAACGGCTGGTTGTGGGCCAATAAAAAAAATGTTCAAAAAAACCTCAAAAAAAAAACTGCCAATGGATCTCTCTCTGCGCGTTCTCGTATGCGCTTTTCTCTTCACCCGACCTTGTCCGAATCCTCCGTAGTAGCTCGTCGCCGCGCGCACGACAGAATTATCTCTATATTTAGCAAAAGGGTACTAGTAAGTAACTTTACATCGAACGCGATGCGCGCCTGATTACCTTTTTAAGTTCTTTCATAATTAATTTGTTTTGCACAACAGCAGCGCAGGCACGTCATCGATATGTCCGCGACTGCCTCGTTACCTTTCATTCTCTCTCTCTCTCCTTTTTTTTTTTTTCAATTTTCCCTACACCCAACATTCGTCAGTTGCCTATTTCCATCATGAGCAATGACACGACGACGAACGTCTCGACGGCGAGCCTGCCTTACGTTATCTCGGCGTTCAAGCTCACCCAGGAAGACAGCTCTTGGATCGTCTCCAATGCCTTTATGATATTTACTATGCAAACAGGTAAGCCACGCGCGCATCGTCAAAGAGTTAAAAAAAAAATTACGCGACGTCGCGACTTTTCCTTTTGCACGCGGTGTACATATAGGATTCGGAATGTTGGAGTCCGGCTGCGTGTCGCTGAAGAACGAGGTCAACATCATGATGAAGAACGTGGTGGACATCGTCCTCGGCGGCTTCACCTACTGGATATTCGGCTTCGGCATGAGCTTCGGCAAGTACGAGCCCAGCAATCCCATTATCGGCATGGGCAATTACATGGTCGACCCGAAGTTCAACGATCCGCTGTTCGGGCCGATCTGCGCGAGTTTTCTCTTTCAGCTGAGCTTCGCCACGACCTCGACGACGATCGTCAGCGGCGCCATGGCCGAACGGTACGGCACAAATTGCGCAACGAACGTCACGATTCGAGCAATAATCACGTTATATACGAACCGAAGACGCGCCGTGCGTTAGCGTCTCGGGTCCTTTTTTTTTCTTTACGGCCGTATTCGCAGATGCAACTTCAAGGCCTACTGTCTGTTCTCGTTTCTCAACACGATCGTCTACTGCATGCCGGCCGGCTGGGTCTGGGGCGATCACGGCTTCCTGCAGAGGATGGGCGCCGTCGACATAGCCGGCTCCGGGGTGGTCCACCTCGTCGGCGGAATTTCCGGTAATCGAGCTCTTAAATTCTAAGCAATTAACGGTAATAAGATGTGTTGCGCCCGCAGCTCTAGCCTGCGCGATGATGCTCGGACCGAGACTCGGCAGATACGACCACGGCATCGATCCCCTACCCCTCGGCAGTCCCGTCAACGCCCTGCTGGGCCTCTTCGTTCTCTGGTACACGAGGAATAATAATAACGAAGAAAAAAATAATGAGTAAATAATCGACGCGTACCTGCGCGCAGGTGGGGCTGGCTGGCCTTCAACAGCGGCAGCACCTACGGGGTGAGCGGTCAGCGCTGGAAGTACGCGGCGAGGGCCGCTGTAACCACGGTGCTGGCCAGCATGGGCGGCGGCCTCGTCGGTCTCGGCTTCAGCCTCTGCAATCCCAAGGGCGTCGACATACTCAGCCAGATCAACGGCATACTCGGCGCCCTCGTCGCCGTCACAGGTTTCCGAAGCAAAAACCAGTACCAAAAAAAAGGACTATCTTTACCCTGGAAATAATTCATATAATTGACGCACGCAGGTGGTTGCTTTTTGTATCGACACTGGGAGGCCGTACTTGTGGGAATGATCGGTGGCTTTCTCGCTTGCTTCACCATGCCTCTGTTCGATAAGGTCGGCATCGACGATCCCGTTGGCGCGTCCGCCACTCACGGTAATATAATCCAGACTTTTTTTCTTCGGAAATTAGCTCATCGAAGCTCTTTTCTTGGCGCAACGAAGGCATCAGCGGCTTTTGGGGCGTCCTGGCCATTGGAATATTCGCGGAAAATCCCTTACCACTCGACACGACCAAGGGTCGAAGCGGAGTGCTCAAGGGTAACTGCGAGACAGAAAAAGAATAGTAGCAAAAGTTTTATCCGTAACATTTTCGTAAATTTTCAAGGCGGTGGTTGGGAGCTTTTGGGAGTTCAAACGCTGATGGCCGTCATCCTGGCGGTCTGGAGCTTTCTCACGTCCGTGATTCTTCTATGGGTAAAGACAAAGACAAAGAGTATACAGACAAGTTGTTTTTTTTTTTTTTCGTTCCTTGACGCAAATAATACGTTGACGTTTATTGAGATAGAAAATTCCTGATATACAATGATAATTTGCTTGATAATTACGCTTTTACGACGCCACAGCTAATCGACAAAATCATACCGATAAGAATGGAGCCGCACGAGGAGCTGCTCGGCGCCGATCTCGTCGAGCATCACATTCGCCACGCCAAAGTACCTCTCTTCCTTTTTATTTACAGAATTTTTCTCATTTTTTCTCGCTACAGGTAGCTACGATCGAATCTTTTTTTTTTATGATACAGATTGGCGTGAGTCAGGCGATATCCGCCTTACATACGAAAAAGGGCCTGGCCGACGTTCCGTCGATCGGCACGAACCCAGGTAAAAATTGATCAACTAACGGAATGTTTTTTTTTAAATTTTTTTCTTTTTTCCATACGAATGTATGATGTATATAATTTGATTTTACAACGATTCGTTTTCTCCGATTGTGCTTCCAAGGTCACGAATCGTTTTTGAAAAAAATGATCCGCACCAAGCGCTTGAGCAACGGGCTCAAATTTTTACGACAATTGCCGCAAACGATCAAAGAGGAGAAACTTCAGAAAGACAACGTCGAGGCCGCTATTTCGACGGTCGACGATCATTCCTCGTCTAAGATAGCGTGGACCAATTGATTATTGGAGAAAAAAAGTACAGTAATAGCATGCCGCGCAATTCGTTAATCGATAATTCAGCTGCTAATTTAAACAAAATTCTTAAAATTATCCTAACACAAATTATTATTATTATTCTAAATTGATATGACGAATACAATCATTTCAAAGTAAATTATTCTAGTGATTATCTATGTGTATTTACAATTTTCGACAATTCAAGCTATACAATGTTACATTTTGTGTAATAAAATATTTAAAGCATTTTACAATCGTTTATCATAAGACATTTATAATCAGTTATTTGTAATTTTTAATTATGCATTATATTTATTATATATTGCAAGAAAATCACATTTTCGACGGTTTTCAATTTACTATCCTGTATGAAAATTTCATAGAGTCCATCTACTTTGATTTTACGTTTATTGGTTCGGTTTTTTAATCGATTATAATATTATTGTATTGTTCTAACAAGTTTCTAAATTATTAATTAAACATTACTTGCAATTTTTTCTGTAATTTTTTTGGGAACTGATTTTTTAATCAGCTAATAATTGTAGTTTTTGACGGATTCTACTTTTATATTTAAATTACAATGCATAATTAAAATAAAATTCAATAATTGATGAAATTTTTAGTTATAGTTTTGGGCATTACATAAGGATTATTGTATAATTACTACAAAAATCGACTTGGAAACTTTGTTGCAAAGTTTTCACTTACAGTTGTTTGCTACTGAAGGAACTTGTCCGTGCAATTTCTACTAACTGCTAATACACGGACACACACACACTCACACATACAGGAAATTAATGTTTTCTTTGCGCTTCAAACGACAAATTTTGAAAGATTAACTTACACATTGATAGTAATAAAAAATCAAAATTAATTTAAATAATTATCAATGATGAAAAATAAAAACATCAACTTAATTAAATAGTTACCATTAATTCAAATGAAAAATGATTTACTGAAAAATGTTTGCTTGAAGCTAAAATCAATTTCAGTTACATAAAAATCAAGATATTAATAAATCATTCATCCTGTATCAGGTCAAGTTCACATTTTTTCACTATTGGGCACACACTTTTTTCATGCAATACTGAATGATTAAATATTTATGACACTAGTAAAAACTTCCTGTCACTTTCTATAGTCTTTTGATGGCTAGACAAGTGTATCTGGGCAATTTTATAGATAGCTAAAACATGCATATACACTCTCCATTAAAAATAATTTCAAATGCACTGCCTTTGAACTACTAAGATACACATACTTTTAGCAGCCAAATGCCACTAAAATTTTTTATACAAATCAAGTTTTTTTTCTATTTTACATTACAGAACTATCTGCCCATTGAGCAACATCGGTTGGTAGACCTTGATAGTTTCTTACAGCTTCCATAACTTCATTTGATTTTAATGCAAAATTGTAGGTTTGATACTCTTTTTCAATTCGTAAATGCTGGCCTGTTGGTATTATCAACTCTAAATTCTGTAAATAGAAAAATTTTGTCAGGCAGAGATTCAAAAATGTATAATATAACAAATAAACTTTAAAATATTTACCTTTATGTGTTCAAATGCTTTCATAATTACAGGTCTTTGGACGGATTCAATGTTTGAGGTCTGACCGGCAAATTTCAAATAACGGCTTAAAACTTTTTCAAAATTTAATGGCTCTCCATCATAAATTTCTGTTTCATGCTTCATGGCAATAATCTACAAATTTATATGATTATTAAAAAGGTTCAAATATTACCTAATATGCAACAAATAAATGATAATGTTTATTACCAGGCACATTTCCAATACAGATAAGCCTTCAAGCATCAAGACCTTGGTGTTTGGACTAAACATTTTACTTGCTTTAACAAAATCATCAACTTCCAACTCTTTATGGTTATTACCAAGAGATGATATAACAACTGCTAAAAAATTTCTAAATTTTCTTTCTATTCTATCATGTTTGTGCATCATTTTGAGGACATTCTGAACTGTAGGATTGTCAGCTAAATTGAGAATTTGCTTATTCCAAATTGCTCTAAATTTTGGATCTATATTACAGTCTTTATTAGCTTGCTCCATTTCATTTACATTCTCATCCTCTGGCAAAGTTAATAACTCCTTAAAAAGTTCTAAGCGATCCTCAAAAGCTGAAATTGGTGTCTCAGATTCTGATGTATCTCCAGGATAAAGAAAGATTTGTCTGTGAGAAAATCTTGATTTTACTCTTTTTTCTAATAATTGAATTACATCTAGTTGACTGGTTATTCCTATAACGCAAATTGGGGCCTAGAACATAAATTTGAGTTTATTGTACATGCATAAATTTATTTTATGCTTGACTATCGATTTCTATGAATATATTACCTGAGCTGATTGAGCAACATCAAATAAATTATACAAAAGAGTCTGATTGTGATGGAAACAAAACAAATCAAATTCATCCAAGATGAATATAATAGGTTTTGAATGTTTTTTGTCACCTGACTTCAAACATTCTAATAAAAATGATAAATTTTCAGCAAATGTATTAAAAACTTTGCCTTCAGATGCATGCTCCAATTGCATTTGCCTCGTAGCATCTTTCAAAGCTAATCTGTCATCCGTATGAACTAATCCATGCAGATTGACTATCAGAGCATTGTCTTGAAAATTTTTTGTGCTTGATAATTCTGTTAGCACACTATTGATAAGCTGAAAAACAATTAATTTTCAATAAGTAACATGGAAAAAATCAATAATTCAAGTTTAAATAAATATCATTACAGTTGTCTTGCCGCTGCCTCTTGGACCAAGCAATAACAACGAATTACTCTCTCCATTCTCAACGGTTCGTTTGACGCAATCCAATACATGAGCTCTCTCTTGTACGTGGTGTCTGAATTTAGTTTCTGGATACAGGATTTTTTTCTTCAAATATTTCCTCGTCAGCATGATCGTGTTGATGTCTTGATTGTCAAACGAAATGGCCATATTCTTCTTCTTACTCATTTTGATATTGTTAATTCCTATTTTTTATATTTAAAAAAAGCAAATTCAGTATAATGCAGAATAAACATGGATTAACTTGTAATGAAATCATTGCAAGAACCGCACGGATATTTTATGAAAATACTTTGTTGATTTTATCCACCCCACAAATATATAAATAGACCATTATCGAGCGTTGCACGAGTGAGGGCGGAAAGACTTCATAACACCCCAGCGGCGCTGCACATAGAGTTCTGAACGATTAAAAATGAAAAGAGGCCTACCCTTCACAGCAGCTAGGTTCACTCGTGAACTGGTTAACGAAGATATATAAAGCTCGTCTATATCGACTGATTATTGCAACGAGTATCGTAACGACTATCGAACTTTTAAATCAATGCATCGCCCCTCACGGACTTCATTGGCGTTTAGCCTTTGCAATAATTACTTTCCGCGGACATGACTAACGAGTTCATTCGCGTGCACAACGATATTCTATATACCCCAAACGCTGTGCGATGCACAAGGATGTGCTCGAGTTGCATCGTGTTTACGGCATGTTTGTATATGAAAAAAAAAAAACAGTGCAGAAGAAACATGACTCACCTCACCGTGAGAGACAGTAAAAATCAATCCGACGAATGGGAGAAGACGTTTCGCTCCCAAGACCCTCGCCGCGTTACACGCATTGGCACCACGAAATCACTCTGCGCTGGATTCGATCCGTACGACACTCGCAACGGAGCAAGAGCCGAAGATGATCGAATTCGATAAAAAGAAACAACTTATGAAAATGTGACACACACACGCACACACACACTAGCGGATGACGGTCCGAGCTTGTATACGCTGCGACGTGCTGTAGGCGCGTCGTCGGAAGGCCGCAGCAGCAGCAGCAGCAGCAGCAACTCGGCTTTCTCCTCTTCTCGCGGCTCGCGCAGTTATTGTACTCTCTTTTGCTCTCTTTTTCGCGCAGACGGCAGAGAGCAGCGGCGATCGCTCGTGCAACTTTGCAATATCTTCACACTTACACCTATACGTACTTTGCACACTATCCAGCTCTACTGTGTGTATGTATGCCCAACCAAACACAGGTACTGTGCGATTCCTCGCATTAAGTCGCTCGAGGGGGTTGATTATAATATGATTGTATTGCTCGGGGATCTCACTTTCTGCGGCGGAGTCTTGTAATAATAAGCATCAGCAGCGCGCGCGCACGCGACAGCGGACCCGTATATTGTAATGAAGCAAGACAGTAATGCTCAAATAATGGAGCAATGTTTGTCCATAATCAATTTAAAAACATTAGCAGAACTAATAAGAATCGACACTTCTTTTTTCTTACTTATATAATATTGAACGGAGTTTTGCCACTCGCAAATAAATCATCAAGTATTTCACGTGTGGATGCATGTAAGCCCGTACATATTAGAAGTTAGCATAAATTGCAATAGCTAATGACTATACCAGTGAAAACTTTGCAACAAAGTTTCCAAGTCGATTTTGTACTAACATAGATCCTGATGGTAATTTAAATGAAAGTAGGATCTGTGGAAAACTACAATTATATTAACCGATTGAGAAATCAGTTCCAGAAAATTATAGAAAAATAATTGAAATTTATGTTTACATAGTTAATAATTTAAATCCCCTCGATATATACTGACATATATACTGACATCAGGATACTTTATCGTGTTTCGTAATTAGCGCGTTTTATAGTACGCAGTTTTCTCGCGCTTATTTATGGCGCCACTGACTGGTGTGATCTACTATGGTCTATGAGTTCTGTTCGACAGACGACAGTGCATGGACGCCAACCAGTAAACATCAGAAGAAGACAGCATCAACGGCTTCGATTCGATTTTTGTATAGTTTTGTCAAGGGATATTATATAAAAATGTTCAAATCGACTAAACGTATAAATAGAGCTGGCTTGAAAAAGCGAGCAAAAGATGACGATTCCGGTAAGTTTACATTAGTTTTTTTTAGTTAATAAAGCATAGGTTAAGATTAAGATTTAATCAGTTTTGTTTATTATTTACAGAGAGTAGCGATGGTGAGACGGTGATCGTCAAGAAAGAAAAAAAGGAGGATCATTTAAATCCATTGAGACAACGTGTAAGTTTATCATTTACTTGAAACACAACTAAAATTTCATAAAACAAGTGTAAATTGACATACTCTATATGACATTTTTATAGACAAATAACAAGAGGCAAAAAAAGGTTTTGGATAATGATGACAGCAGTAGTGAAGGAGATTCAGTTACAGTGTCCTATAAAAGCAAAAGAATGGCTTTGCCCGAGGGGCCAAGCGATCAAGGTGCCACTTCAATTCTACAAATCGAAACAGAGGAGGATAGAGATGCTCAAGCAATCTTTGAAAAAGCTCAAAAAATAAATGCCGTAAGTTTTTATGTGAAATGATGCAAGATATTTTTGATAAATGAATTCTAATCATAAATTTTACTTATTTAGGAGCTAAAAGGAAAAGAAGATGATAAAATATATAGGGGCATGAACAATTATGCTCAATATTTTGAGAAAAAAGATACAGTAGCTGGTAACGCATCCAGTGGTATGGTGCGCAAGGGACCCATTCGAGCACCTGCAAATTTGAGGGCTACAGTAAGATGGGACTACCAGCCAGATATTTGTAAAGATTACAAAGAGACTGGATTCTGTGGATTTGGTGGTATGTTTCTAAATGTAAAATTCTTTATTCATTAAAATCTCTTACAGTGATAATAATATTATACTTTTAACTTTTTAGACAGTTGTAAGTATCTTCACGATCGTTCCGATTACAAACATGGATGGCAATTAGAAGCAGAGGCTGGTGCAGATGCCAGTGGTGATGAAGATGATAAAAAATATGAAATTGACAGTGACGAAGAAACTTTGCCATTCAAGTGTTTCATATGCAGAGAGAGCTTTACTGATCCTGTGGTTACAAAGTAAGTTTCAAAATTATCCAAACGTGCTATTTTATGTACACATGTTTCAATTAAATTCTAATTCAAATGCAATAATTACAGGTGCAAGCATTATTTCTGTGAAAAATGTGCTCTGCAACAATACAAAAAGAGTGCCAGGTGTTTTATTTGCAATGTAAATACTTACGGTGTATTTAATCCGGCAAAAGAGTTAATTAAAAGAATCAAACAATCGAAACATGATGAATGCGATTCTCACAAAGAAGATGAAAGTGAAGACGATGATTAAACTGTGAATATGGTGTATAATTGTAAAATTTAGGGTCTGTAAATATTTGTAAGATTGTACTAATAAAATCTTTATTTTGTTTTATTTAAGTCGCATAATTCAAAGAAATAAGAAGTTGAAAATACATTAAAAGATCCATCTGCAAGTAGGGTAAATTAAATAAATTACTTATTATTACTTTCGGACGAATTCAAGAATAGACGCGCGTGGCCGCAAAACCACGTTTTTGACACTTAATTGTTCATAACTTTTGAACCGATTGAGTTTCCAACTTAAATTTTGTTTTTAAAATCTTCGTTATTAAATTACCTATCGATTGAGGAATGAAATCTACGAATTTACGAATCTATAGAATCTACGAATGAGGAGGGGGAATACTTGCCGAAAAATTGAGCTAACTTTGAATTAAATTTTCTCCGTGTAAATTAACTTTTTTCGAAAAACTGGTACCACCATTGGAACGAACAGACAAAAATCTATCGGGATGCATGTGCGCAATATTTTTTCAGATATAATTGACCCAGCCACGGCGAGTTAGAAAAGATGCGATACATTAAAAAATGTCCCACGCGAGTGCACTGTGTGGTCGAGCGTGGAATACGTCAGCTATACTTTACGATATTCCGCGGTCAACCTTAAGTGACATTAAAAATGGGAAAATATCCCAGTACGAAAAGCGACGAAGACCAGAACCAGAATTATCATGTGCTGGGGAAACTAAAATCGCAATTTCTGTGGCATCGGATTCCCTGTTGATAAACATAGACTCATAGAGACTGTTCAAAAAACGATTAAAGATGCTAATTTACCTACAAAATTTGTCAATGATAAGCCAGGAGATACTTGGTATCGACTATTTTTAGGTAGACATAAGGATATAACTCAACGTGTTGCAGAGGGAATATCCAAAGGAAGAGCCATCGTCACAAAAGAGTCCATCGAAAACTGGTTCAAAGAACTGCGCGAATACCTAAAAGAAAATAATTGATTGGATATAATGGATGATCCTACAAGAATTTTAAATGGAGATGAGACTGGTTTCAACTTGTCACCACCATCCGATAAAGTTCTTTGTCGCAAAGGCACTAAAAATGTGTATAAAGTAAATGTAGGCAATCACAAAGAAAATATTACCGTCTTGGTATTTGTGACAGCTGATGGATCACTACTTCCGCCTTTGATAATATACCCGTATCAACGTTTACCTCCTGAGATCGTTGAAAGTGTACCCGATGAATGGTTTGTTGGAAAAACCAAAAGTGGGTGGATCAATACTGAGACATTTTTCGAATACATGGCTAATTGTTTGAATCCATGGCTAGAGAGATCTGGGATTAAGAAGTCTATTTTGTGCTTTGTTGATGGCCATAAATCTCACCTAACTTTGCCATTGAGCATTTTTTGTAGTTATAATGGAATTATTCTGTACTCGCTTCTTCCAAATGCCACCCACAATACTGCAACCTGCTGATGTCAGTGTTTTAGATGTATATTCAAAAAAAAATTTTATTCAACGAGTAAGCTCCCCCAATCGATTATAATAGGATATATTCTTAAGTGTTTGATAACTAGCTGCTTTACCCTATAATCCCATCTTTGTTCCGTCGAAATTCTCACAGCGACTTTGGTTTTGGATCAATTCGATTCGAATTCGCATCGTCGTGGAAAAAAGCAGCATCGTTACAGAGTGAAAGCAGATAAAATTCTTATTCAATTTGTTCGTATTTCTGCCGGGGAGCGAGTACGTGTCCTGTAACGTATGTCGCACAATTCCCGTTCCGAAGATTGTGAGCGTACGTGCGCAATACGCGCATAATTTCGTATGCACAAAAGAGCAAATTCCAGAAAAATAAGAAAGAAAGATCGGGCACGGTGTCGCCTTTTTTCTGTTACGCTTGACACGCGCATTCGGCATCAATAAATAACTCACGAAAGTTACAATTTGCGTTCACTCTATGAAATTATAGGCCGTCGTGAAATGTATCGCGCATTTTTCACGCAATTTTTTTGCTTTAAGCGAAGTTTTTTGCTATAGAATCGCAAAGCGTTGCGCATAAATACATTACGCATAACTTATTCTCATGGTACGCTAAACAGCTTTATACAGTGGTCGCCGCTTAAGAGAATTGCGCTTAATAGAATACGCCGGTTAAATGAATCAAAAATCCTAACAATGATTTTCCCGTATCCTTATACATGTAAAATTCACCGCTTAAGTGAATAAACTTTTCGCTTAATAGAATCAAATTTAGTTTGAAGACGATGTTTACATTCAATGTTGTTGTCGATTAAATACAAGTTTCATTGTCAGTACTTTCTCATAGCACCGTCGGTATTACATGCTCATAATAATTAATTGTGTTAGTGATACAAGTATGAAAAAATCATCAGCTATAGTTCATAGAAAAGGCTTAAGTGTCCTTGAAAAAAAGGAGCTACTAAAAAAATATGATTTGTTGCCAAATTTATCACAAAGTGATGCAGCGCTGTTATTAAACATATCACAAGCTACTCTTAGTAGATTATTATTAAATCGTTACGAGATAGAAAGTACCTCTTGCTCTCACGAAAATCTCAGCCGCAAGAGAAAACGATGCGGCAAAGACGAAGACGTAGAAAAAACGTTGAAGAATATATTATATATATATATATATTCATTTATAATAATAAATTATTTATTATAATAATGCATAATTTCTCGGATTCAAAGTTATTTATAAGTTATTGCAATCCCTATCGGATAGTAGAATCATCCGCTTAATAGAATGAAAATTTTTGTCACACAGTGATTCTCTTAAGCGGCGACCACTGTATTTATTCGGGCTCGAAAATTCTGCATGAATTGCTCCTGCAGATTATTTAGGTTGTCGCGCTAGGGAGGCCTTCGATTACTCGAAAACAGTTTTACCCGAATGTTCAAACTCCCTAAAATTAAATGAAATTTCATCAAATCTATAATCCGAATTACGAAGTGGCTGCTGTTATCAATGAGAATGTTAAAAATAGGTATGTTCAATAATGATTAATTAACGACAACAGAAAAAGATTATCCAAAATTATGAAAGACAAATTCGAATCCGTTGGAGAGAAAAACTCAGACCCGAACGTATCAAAACCGAAAACCTTGCAGCCTAAATAAAAATATCCGGATTGACAAACGGGAAATACTTGTTGGAAATTCTAATAAAATACTGATAAATTTTCCGAGATTCCGAAAACGATCTTTGTATTTTTCTGTTTAGCTTAGCTCTTTCCCTTCGTCCTGCATTTACCATAAATCTGCTTGTCGGAGACACACGTGACAATTAATCGTCCTCGTGCGCGCGTAATCAATTATCATACGTATCGGCCCAGCTGCCGCAAGTACACGTAGAGCCGCTGAATTGCATTACTCGTATACGAGCAAAATAGGACGGTGTGTAATAATATACGCATGTATGTAGGTAAGTGGCGGCGGCGTTGGCGCGCGATGAAGCAAACCGGAGAGCTTTCAGTTCTCTCTCTCTGTATGTACCTATATATACGTCTCCTTCGGTGCACTCGTATGCATTAATGTAGCGATCGATAAAAGAGGTAGTAGGTAGCAGATTCCGCTCCAACTACACGGTATAATATACATGTATAAAAATGCCAAGGGAGCTTACACGCCGATACTGCAGCAGCAGCTCTATAGCTATGTATATCATACTATTGCGTTCAAACTCGCGTGTGTGTATGTGTGTGTGGGTGTGTGGGTGGGTGGCACGGCAACGTACGGCGCAGCCGTGTATGCGTGTGTTATTCGGCCACTCGGAGTACCTCGTATATACGTCTGAGTGTGCATCACATGTGTGCATTGAAATAGATACACACACGCCCAAATAGTTGTGCCTGTATTATAGTGGCATGAATAATGCATATTGGCAGCGTCGCCGTGGGTACGTTCGTTTCGCCCGATTCCCTTCCAAACTCACTCGCACGTTCGAAACGAACCACATTCATCCCGAGCTTTCAAGCTCGAGCTTTTTCGGCTAATATTTAAAAAAGCAAAAAACTTCAAATCATCGTCGCTCGCTTCAATTTCAACCGTGGCGTGCGGAAAAAAAATCAAACGTCAAAAGATATATTCGCCGTGCAGCGCTGCGTCGAAAGCTCGCGCGCTGCCGATGCTGCGTTCCACTTTGCTCGGCCGCAAGCTCTCGTCTCGCGCGTAAATATACAAATCTGTGACGGTCATCCTCTCGCAGCTTGCGCGCGCGCGCAAACTTACTCGCGCGAAAATACGCGCGCTCTCTAGCTTGTATAACGTGAATACGTCTGTGTGGGTGTGTGGGTAGTGCGTATACGAGTGTGTGCGTGCGAGCAGAAGACTCGAAAGCTCGCGGCAGCAGTGTGGCACGGCGGAGAGCTTTTTAGCGCTACTCAAAGGCAGCAGAAACAGTAACGACGTATACGAACACGACTGTGCGTGTGTGTGTGTGTGTGTGCTTGCGTATGTACGTACATATACGCCAGCGCGTTTATAACGTGTCGTTCAACACACAGACACGTAGAACAGACTTGGGCGCGCAAACGCGTGTACACGTTTAGATCGTTCGCTGTGTGCGCGTTTTCTCTCTCTCTCTTCTCATATATAATAATAAACCGAGTGGAGCAGCAGCAGCAGCTCGTACAGAGCTTTGCGCTATAGACTCTCTCTGCTCTGCTCGCTCGTGTGTGTACATCCGTGTGAATATCAGTGTGTGTGCGTGTGTAAAATATCTGCGCGCTGTCGTATGTGGTACAGGTCGGATTCCAATGGCCGAAGAAGAATCATCATCGCACTGCAACAACTCGTCGGTAGCAGCAGCAGCAGCAGCAGCAGCAGCTCGTCGTCGCAGTAGTTGTAGCACAAGTAGTAGTGGTAGCTGTAGCGGCAGCGGCAGCGTTACTACTGCATCGGCAGCAGCAGCTCGATCGTCCAACAACGACTGCGTCAACAAACAACCGCAGCAGCAACAACAACAGCGTCGAAACAGCAGCGGTCAGCAACAACAGCAACAGCAACCAATTCCAGCCTGACGCGGTGTCAATTGTTACAGCAACAACAACATCAACATCAACAATAATTTCGTCTCGGCCCAGAAGAAGAGACATCATCAGTTGCAGCAGCAGCAGAAGAGACCACCGTTGGCGCGGCTGTTCCAGCTGCTGGTGAGGCTGTTTCTCGGCGTGGTCGCGGCCATCAGGCGGCCGGTCCTCGAGCGCAAGGCCCAGCTCGCCGCGAAACTGCGACGCAGACCTGGCAGATACTGCCTGCGCATACTGCCCCGCAAGACTTGACTCTTTCGCGAGTGCGCTTGTATCTTGGTGGTTTGGGGTAAACTGCTTCGTTTTTCTCTCATTTTTTTTCATCGCGACATATTGCTTGTAACACACGCTGTGTGCTGCTGTGCTACGCGTTGATCATCGTATTATTATAATACGTTATCGCGTATATGGCGCACGGCTGCGCGCGACTATACTACACAACTATTTGGATGGACCGTGCAGTAAAGCAGCAGCAGCAGCAGCGGCTGCGAATAGCTCACATACATATGTAAGCGTGTGTACTAGATATGAAGCGTAACGATAGTTTCCAGCCTGCTTGTGTCTGTGCGCCGTCGATTTTGTGCATTTAAGTGCGACCGTGTGTGCGTGTGTGCGAGTGCCGTGTGCATACAGCAGCATAGTTATAGCCCTAGCTTAGAGGGGGACTCCGTGTAATAGCGTGTAATTGTATTATCGACTGTTTAATTCGTTTTTTCCCGTGGCGTATTTGTACGAAGAGAGAAAGATAGACGTCACCGAGCGACTCACCTGTGTGACCCCCCTTGACTGCGCCAACGTACGCAAGTTATTTACTCCAGGTAAGTTCTTTTTTTTCGTCGTTATGTACTAGCGTACGTACAGCTTGTACGATCGGTCGTGGGCACACGTACGTACGCTTCCGTTTTGTACATCGAGCTTTCGAACGCATGCAATTTCATTGTCTGCATAATGTAAGTTTCGTTTTATCCCCGAAACGATTGTAAATAACGAAAAGTTTCCTCCTCTTCATTTTGTTTCTGCTTTTCTTTACGAATTTAGAAGTATTCGAGTCGAAGTATTTATTATTACAGCCGTGCAGGTACTTAAATAAGCCTAACGAGCTTTTTTGTCTCGCGGCGCGTTTGCCAGGTCTCTCCGCGCGTGTACAACGATACAGGCAAAGAATACACTCGCGGATTCGATGTTTTTTTTTTATCTCTTCTCTCTCTTTTTTTTTCATTTTCGTTGGCATTGACACGAGGCGCGCGCGCGCACTTAATAACAAGCGCGCAGAGCATTATAATACGAAAAAAAAGCTCTCCTCTCTCGCAGAGAGTGAAATTTGGCAAATTGCCTCTCGACACGAGAATGGGGGAGCAGAAGGAGAAGAAGGAGGTGGGGGGAGAAGGAGGACGCGATCCGAGCTTGCGACTGCTGCCGCTGTCACTGCACTTCCGCGTGTAATTCCAACAAAGAGCGAAGAAACGGGAGAATACTCGCTCGAGGCGCGCGTTTGTAAACTCGAATCGTAATGAGGACGATTAAGCGCGATTGCGACGTTTTAATTACACAAAAAGCGTATCGCTATATAAGTATACGGCGTATAAATAACGGCATCTATCTCTGCGTATCTCTGGCTCGCGAGCTCGTTGGTTTTTCGTGGACCGAAAATGAGAGCTTGATTAACGAGCTTTCGAGCTTATATTTGTGACGTGCCGACGACGACGACGTCGACACGCCATAGCGACGTTGACATAATGACGCATTTTTCATCCGGCCATATGAAAATACATTTTTCTCTCTTGCTTCTTCTCCGATTCACGGAGATGCCTATTATTTTTCCTCTAGAAGTCTTCTATAGACGTAAAAATCAAACTTTGTGGTTAACATAATGAAGTCGCGTTGAAAAAGCTCAAGAGCTACGCAGCGCATAAAAGTACTCGGATAACCCGAGCTTTCGGCTTTCTTTCACGCTGTTCGTATAAGCTGTACACACACACAGATACATGTGTTTTTCTGAAGGACGAGTAAATCCTAAAAGTCGTATTTCTTTTCTTCCTTCTACCTTGCAAAGACAGTGTAGCAAGAGAATAAAAGGAAAATTGGATCAGCCCAGTGAAGAGTATCAACGCGAACTCAGACCCGGTCGACATAAAATCTCTCTTCTCTTTCTCTCACTGTTGCTCGTGTGCGTCGCCATCGGCCGATCGGCTCTCGACGTCGCCGCCGCCTCACACGTGGCTCGTCCGTTAATACATACTATACAGCACGACTGCCGTATACAGAGAGAAAGCCGAGGGAGTGAAATAAGTGGAACTACGAGCGGCGCATTCATTAAGCCAGGTGAGTATTTCGTAATATCTTCCCTTTGGAGGCGAGCTCGACTGGAAATATCAATTAAAGCGCGAGTACACGGACCGCGTCAAATTTAATTATATCGTACATAATGTACGCATACGAAAGAGATTGCGAATCGCTGCCTCTCTCTCTGTCACGCGTCGTGCCGTGCTCGACGAACTTTTCCGGGAATGTTTTATCCGCGAGTCCGCGCGCGCGCAGCGCCTCGATCTATGTTATGCATTAAACTCGAATCGCGAGCGAGCGAAGCGATACGTAATAAAGCCCCCGGCGGAAAATGAAACTTTGCGAACGGATAGGTACGTATACATGCATATTAGACGCCAGATATGCACTCGCGCGATGACCCCGAATTCCGCCGAATGTGGCAAAATTTAATTTATAAGTTTCGCTCCGAATTTATATTATACGCCAACGTGGCTCCGTGCGAATACACGACAAAGAAAATATTTCCTCTCTAGGCTGCTGCTGCTGCTGCGTGTGTATGTTCTCGGCGGAGCGAGTACATAAAGATGGGTATACGCTCGCGAGCTTGTTATATTTGTACAAAAGCTCTCCAACGAGCTTACATTCGCAAGCTCGAAGGGAGGTTATATCGCGTCGAAGAAAATGGTAGTTGTTCCTGATATACGTGGCGCAAGCGCTTGAGTAATAGTTCCGGAATAGATTTTTCTCAATTTAAAAAAGTATTTTATACATTACATACGCCCGATACAACGAGCTCGAATTTTTGCGATTCGTTGGCAATTACTCATACTTATTTCTGTTCGTGTACGAGCGTAGTTGAAACGATACGGGTATCATTCGATATTTCTCAAATCAGGAAAGAGCGCTTATTCTTCGGAGAGATGATTATAACATCGACCGACTTTTAAAGTTCGTCTCAATCAAGCCGTATCAAATATGTACGAGCCATTCGTATATTTGGCCGAGCAATCCAATAGGCCACGTCGAATCATCAAGTCAGAACTCGTTCGACGTCGAAGCCGTGTATTTTTTTTTTTTTTAATCTATGAAAAATCTTACGTGTACCACACTCTGCGAGCATTTAATTAAAGTTTTCACATGTGTGTGTGTGTGTGTGTGCGTATTATACTTTATACTGCGTGGGCCGAGGCCATCGCAAACCGATAAGCTCGCTCGGATCTTTCTCTCTCTCTCGTTGCCCCGCGTGCTTTTGTTTATGATAATTATTACTTTTAACAATGTAACGTACGCCGCACAATGTAATAACTCCGAACTCTCGTGCAAACTAGCGCTCGGCTCAATTTATATACATCGGTTAAAGCAAGCGCGCGGGTGTACATGATATTCCAAGCGCCTTGACCTTAACTCCTTCGAGCCGTGTTCGTTACGTGAGCTTGCACGCCTATTATGATGTAGCAATTCTGCAAGCTCCGTGCGTCACACGCGCGCACGCTGTATTCGTTCGAATCGACACGATTCATATATGCGATAGTTTCCCACATGCGATATTTTTTTCCAGTATTTGAAGTGTAAAATTTTGAAAATGAATAGACATAAAATATTTTCTTCGTGTGATATGCGCGTAGTATCGACTGTGCATCGGGTTTTGATTAGCCGTGCGTTACTAACGCGACGGTGCATTTTGACACGATAACGCGCAATTTCATTCACAGCCGATGGGCACACAAAACACGAGATATCAATGAGAAAATGAAAAAAAATCAGTGAGAGTGTATTCTAAAAAGTGTATTGCTTCGGGCTTCTGAAAAATATCGCCCGAATACAATTTAGGAACATTTATGACATCGAAAACAACAAGTTTTTCACACTAATAGAAAAATAATTATTTAGCGATTGATTATACTTAACTTTGTATTTCATCCGAGTCGAGCGATTATGGCAATTCAGTTTCTTTCAATAACTGAAACTATATGCTTTTCATTTTCACTAATTGCAGGGCTTTTTGATCGATAATTGATGCCGTGAGGGAATGGGATAGTGAAGTTTAGGAATACTTTTTTATTCAAGACAAGACTTCCTATCTTTAATATAGGTACTTGAGAAAATCTTTTTTTTATTTTATTTTGTGTAAAAAAAAGTGAGTGGGTGCACAATCATGAGAAAATAAATATAGAATTTTTAATGAATGCTTTTATTGTTCTTCGTGGATTTCATTGATATTTACTTGAAAAATTGTCGGAAATTAAGTAGTGTACTCATGGAGTAGTCTTTCGTATGTCCGAATGTCCTCGGTCAAATCTTAAACTTTTAGAGTTTATACCATTATTAACTGAATTTAATTATGTTTTGCATCAGTGTGAACTTTTAGGTTTTTCTTGCTGCCGTATGTTCTACGAATATGTACTGTATTTATGTGAATCGTGTGGTAACTTTTTTCTTCAAATAACTTGTGACATATCGCACACTTAAAGGGTTTGATACGATCATGGACTGAATTTATGTGTTCTTTGAGAGTACTTTGGTATTCAAATGATTTGTGACAAATCTCACATTCGAAAGGGTTGCTACATTTATGTACTTTACTTATGTGCTTTTTCAAGGTTGGATAGTATCCAAATGATTGGTGACAAATATGACATTCGAAGGGTTTTTTGTGGTCATGTATTGCACTTATGTGATTTTCCATGGTTTGATGGTATCCAAATAATTTGTGACAAATATGACATTCGAAGGATTTGCTGCGGTTATGTAATGCACTTATGTGGTTTTTCAAGGTGTGATGGTATCCAAATGATTTGTGACAAATATGACATTCGAAGGGTTTGATTCGATTATGTACTACTTTTATGTGAAGATTGAGTATACCTTTTTGTCCAAATGATTTGGGACAAATTTCACATTTATATGGTCTATTGATTTTATGTGTCATATTGATGTGAGTTTTTGGGCTCTCTTCTCTTTCAAACGTTTTTCGACACTGATTAAACTCTCGAGTTGATTTGTTTGACGTTCTTTTTCTACATATTTTCACTTCCTTGGATTCGTTAAGTTTCAATCGAGATTCTTCTTCAAACTGATCAATTTGGCTTTCTATTTTCACAAAAGGTTGCTCGGTTTTGCAGTTAGTTGTCGATAGAAATTTCAGTTCAGATTTTACACCTTTGCCCTCAAAATCAATCAACATTTTTTCAGTTATGTCATCGATCTGACTTTCGTTTTCTTTTTTCACAATAGATTGGCAACTTTGATTCTCAATTTTGCAGTTAGCTGTTGATAGATGGGTTGGTTCGAGTTTTACACCTTTGCACTCAACGTCAATGAATATCTTTCCATTTAAATTTTCTTGTAACGCCATAACCTCATTCGTGTGATTTGTCTAAAATGAAAATTGTTCAATAGTTTTTGATATTGTAAAATTAGACCATTACTCAAATCATTACACTCACCGGTGATTTATAAACTGGAAATGTTTTAAAGTTTTTGGCTTCGCCAGAGTCCACCGAATCGAATCGATTATTATCGTCACCTGCATCCGGGCAAGTATCGTTCGGCTCCTCCTTCACCCTAAGGAATTATCAAATTCAATGAAGAAATCGCTTTAAAAAATGTAATGGCGTTCACAAATAATAGTATACCTAACTATGCCTTCTTTGCTTTCCATCGCTCGCTTAGTTATAATGATTCGAAAAATTAAACGATTAGCAAAATTAACCGGAAAAATATTCGAGGTTAATCGCCTCGAGTAGCTAACACTAATCCTTGATTTCACCAATTTGTAAACAGTTGCTTACTACAGGAATTTATCTCCTCGCCAGCGACTGAACGCGCCGCTCGTGTATATTAGCGAGGCGAGTAGGTGACCCCGTGTTTGTGATGGCTCCTTGGCGATACCTTCCCCTTCCCGCCATACGCAGTGGTGTACTGCGATACATACACAGACTATATGCACTTCTTTTGCGGCCTCGGCTTCGCCTCGGTCTGGGGTTATACTATTTAATTTTGCACTCTGAATGATCAGGTTAACGAATTATTTATTAACAAAATCGTTTTAATCTGCTCTGTTTCGATTATACACTCGGCAACAAAATTATCGCAACAAAAAAATTCATCGAAATTTTGTCGATTTTCAAATGCTTCTATCTTGGGCTAGATTTATCGTATCGACACGCTTTTTTTTTTAATTTCTTGGAAATTTTGTTCTCTTTAAATCCATATAAATTAAGATAAGATTTGAGTTGATGTGGAGTTACCAGTAGTATTTGAGCGTGACCCTAAAAATTACTGAAAAAAAATGACTGTTTGAACGTGTACCAGTACCGCAGTGATTTTTTTATCGAAATCTAACATACACCATCGCAAAGTGCTCTTTTTAACGAGTAATTTAAAAAAAAAAGGACCTCTCTACGATTTTTCTAACGCCCTGTAGGTCGATTTGAAGGTACGGTTTATGTACGCAAAATGCCCAGAAAATCGTCTTGATTTCAGCTAAACGGGGGATTTTACGTACTTTAAATGGTATCTTCAAATCGACCTACAGGGCGTTAAAAAAATCGTAGAGAGGTCCTTTTTTTTTTAAATTACTCGTTAAAAAGAGCACTTTGCGATGGTGTATGTTAGATTTCGATAAAAAAATCACTGCGGTACTGGTACACGTTCAAACAGTCATTTTTTTTCAGTAATTTTTAGGGTCACGCTCAAATACTACTGGTAACTCAACATTAACTCAAATCTTATCTTAATTTATATGGATTTAAAGAGGACAAAATTTCCAAGAAATTAAAAAAAAAAGCGTGTCGATACGATAAATCTAGCCAAAGATAGAAGCATTTGAAAATCGACAAAATTTCGATGAATTTTTTTGTTGCGATAATTTTGTTGCCGAGTGTACATTTCGATCATCACATCCTAAAATTTATTATTATACTATCGCGTGTCGTTAAAACTACACCGAACTTTTAATAAAATTTTCATTCGGATTTCAAAAATAAAAAAAAACCTAAACCTGGCAAAAAATTGAAATTATAGAAAAGCATTTCATTTTTAAGTTGCAATCCAAATTATTTTACGACACTTGTTATTACAGAGCTTCCTAATAGATGAAGAAAAATCGTGATTGGATAGTTTCGCATCGAGGTTTGTAAAAATATTCTTGCGATAAAAAAAATCATCGTGGGCCAAGGCAACGTATCCAACAGAGTTTTCCACGCGTAAATATCTATGTAGTACGAACTTGTAACGAACCTGCACCACTCGGACGCGCAGTGGCTGCGTAAATTTTGAACGAATAAAACTATAAAAGCTCGAGTGGTCGTATAGGTATACACCCTCGTACGGCGATGACACGCAGCCATTTATGCATTTTCCACGCATTGCAAGCTCAACGTGGAAAATAAACAAAAATTGGACCTACATGCGTAACGCACTCCGAGCGAGCCGAGAGTACAGTCGCGAGCGAACAATAACGATGTTTGGCGGGAACGATGTGTACGCGCCGTTGATTACACTCCGTGCGTCATGTACGCGATTTTTGAATCGCAATTTCAACGGAGATAGAAGAAGAAGGAGGAAAAAAAGCACAGGAAAAAATCGAGAGGAAAAGGTGTATCCTTAAAGGGAACGCTTATAGCCTCGAGCCAAGTTGAAATTACTCACGAACATACACATATGGATATCGACCAGTCGCTCCTACCTTTTTTTTTGCTCTCTCTCTTTCTCTTTCTTTTGCATTATACGTATAGCGATCGTTCGGGCCATTATCACGCTAATAACGAGCTACGCACACAGTCACACGTGTACACGTACAGCGACGACGACGACGACGACGACGACCGGGAGTTACAAGGTGTATGCACGTGTGCGAACGAGTCGAGCTCGAGTAATAATTTTTTATTCGCAATGAACCTGCACTCGTTATCTATTTCTTTGTCAAATATTTGCTTTGACGATTGGCACCCGCACACATACATACAGTACGTATGTACTCACGCGAGCACGGCCAATCTCCTTCGTGCGCGTGTGTGTGTATGTGTGTGCTTTATATAGATCGGCGCCTTTCGCATCCACACACGTACAGATACACACTCGTACATTAACGTGTATATACGTCTGTATATATCGAGAAATAGCCGCGCGAATCGAGTTCTCTTGGTAGGGATGAGGCGTCGTCGTCGTCGTCGACGCGTTCGGCCTGCGAAACACACTGTATATACAGCTCGGCGAGCGCGCCCGCAAGTATCGTGTGTGCCAGGCCTCGTCAGTCTTTCCCGCGTCGTCGAGCGGCGCCAAAAGGTCCGTGACTTTGCAATACGAGGCGAAACGAAAGCAACGACAACAAAACAAACGAAAAAATGTGCATCGAATGTACTCGAGTGTGCGCCACGAGCCGTGTGTGTGGCTAATATACGTGTGTTGTGTATTATATTATTTATTATTATTATTATTATTATACGTGGTGCGAAGTTTAAGTGATGAGCGCGGCGAGCTGCGAGCTTTTTTCTCGCCATCCGCGCGCGTGCATGTGTTTGTTTGTGCAGCGAGTGCAGAGTGAGTGAGCCGTGAGATTGGATATTATATATCGTGAATATATTTTGCATCAGTGTCGTGTCGTTCGAGCGAAATATATACATAAATCGTACAAAAGTCGTCCCAAATTTCCGAAGACATATATATCCAGCGCACTGTGCACAATTGTCGCAAGCACAGACACCCGCACACCACATAACTGTAATATAAAAAAGCCCCGCAGTAGGATGCGAGGCCACGAGAAGGTGCACTGGTTCCAATCGATCAAGCAGTGAGTCATGAATCGACCGATTTCACGTTTCAAACTCTTTTTCCTCTCTCTTTCTCTCTCTCCTTTCCTATTTTTTTTGTATAAATCGGACGCGGGATCTCGGAAAAAAATCAATATCTCCGGTGCGCGGGTACAATGCCACACGACGATCTCGCGATAAGGTACCCGAACCTTTTATACATACGTTAAACAAATACACACACGAAAAAGTGGGTAGCGTCAACAATTGTGTGTTTTTGTTTTAGGAGTGGAATCACGGAAACGCGCAGAGAGCGTGACGATCTATACTCGCCGAAATGGAAAATCTCGCGGATACTTTTTCGACGAGTCAGGCACACGATTGTTATACAAACACATTGGCGGCGTCGGCGTCGGTGTCTTATCTTCCGCGCGCCACCTCTGCGATTTTTTGCCATTATCTGCCTTGTACTACGTGTATACGAGAGTTTATAATATACGGCCGATATCGTACGGCAGTGTCGGTGACGCACCTCGATGTGTATGCGGTATATGTAATATTACGTGCATAATTACTCGCGAAAATAGCGGCACACGCCACTCGGTTCCCCGACACAGCTTACACATAACATCGTGTGCGCAATAATGAAACATATGAAAAAGAGCTTATGCGATCGTAGAGGGTAAGAGAAGGGGGCGCGCGTCCTTGATGCAGCGGCAACAGCAACGGGGGAGGGTTCGTTCCTAGTATAGGAGCCTCGCTCGTACTCGAGCTTACTCGAGTCGACCTTGCGTGCGTCGAGGAATCGTGAGATATTAGTGCAAATTATATACATATACGTTGTATATGTATACAGTAGGCAAAACGGGAGCCAATCACGCGAGTATGTGTGTGTCTATGTGTTTATAAATTATACGTATATGGCATCGTTAGGCCGTAATATCGAATCAATTATTCCACGCGACGACTTTTTTTTTTTTTTTGTTGAATGCAGTGCACAGTCCTATATGCATACATATAGGTACTGCTACAGAAAGTCGTGCTACACTCGTGCTCGCGGGGAAATAAAGCTCGAATTTTCGTTTTTGTCCTGCGCATATATACCTACGGGCTCTCTCTGTGTATTCGAGTGTGTTTACCCTCTTCTTGTCGTCGACTGTCGACTGTCGCTTTGAACATCAAAAGTTCTATCTTCCGGCGGGGCACACACACACACACACACACACACACGCCGTATACGGCTCTCATGGTCGCGCGCAAGTATATAGGGGGAGAGAGACAGTCGACGATTTGACGATGCGCTAAAACAGTGTCTCTCTCTCTGTTCCTTTTCATCTATATATGAATGTGCGTTATATAGGAACTGCGCGATGCACACACGAAAGATCGTTTGCGCGGAGGCGCACTCGAACGAGCGAGAAAAAGCTCCTTTCTCTTGTTTTTTTTTTGTTTGCCCCCTCGCTGCTGCTGCTGCTGCTGATGTCGTCGGCTGTCGCGGGGCTGGGGCGAGTCGAGCGAATTGCAATTTTCGCTCAAATACAAAGAGGGAGAAGAAGTAAAAAAAAAAAACGACTCGAAGAGATTCTCGGCGTTTCTTCTTCCTTTATACGAAACTATGTGCGCTGTGTGTGCATAGATGTATGCACAACATTGACGTGTAGGTACGCGCGCCTATCATTTGAGAACTTTGCGCGCGTCGTAAAAGTCAGCTAGACTTTCGCGCGCGCACAGGGCGGCAAATTTACATGCATGCATGCGCCTATATAGAGATATATATACACGTGTATGGCACCTGCGTATGTAGGACACAGGAGGAGGCAGCTTCGTGGCAATGAGAGCGAGCGAGAAATGGTGTATTATATATAATACAGAAACGAGGTGTACAGGAGATCGAATCGAAGGGCGAGTGTATACATAGCGAGCTCGTGTTTGTGTATATAAATAACGTTACAAGGAAAATTCCCATTGATCGCGCGCGACTGCGACGCGAGTCGTGCAGAGTTACAACTTTTAAAAGCGGCCAATGTTATTACTTATTATGTGTGTGTGTATAAACGGCAGCGTGTCCGATGCACGTAAATGTATATAATAATACGGCAATTTCAAGTCTCGAAACGTTGCGATATATAAATGTAATTAGGCTCAATTAACTCAGACATTAATGTAACAATTGTACTTATTCGCTCAATGTATGCG